TAATAATATTCTGTACTCTGCTTCTAAGAATTCAGGCTGGGGGAAGTGGTGGCCATAGGTCAGTGTTGTGCTGCTGTGGCTGCAGGTGCCACACAGTATCTGATGTGGCTCAAGCTTTAGCATCGGAGCTTTCTTCATCATGAATATGTTAATTTTGTGAGGCAGTAGTGTATGCAATTTTGCTGCACATCATGCGGTAGCTTCTGTCTGTGCGTTGGTATCTTGTGCACTGATTTAGGTAGGGCTCACAGTAATATTGTTGGCACTGAACTTAGCAAATGACAGGAGCTTGGAATAAAGATTCCCAGGACCGTCTGAACTTGAGTGTCGCAGATGGTCATTTTCTGCACTGTTTTGGTTTTGAATTCCAGTAGTAAATCTTACATTTGTTTTTAAACACTGTCCCCCTTGTCACTAATGCAAGGAGCATTGCTGTGCAGAGATCCTGAGTGGTGGTGTTCTCTTGTCTGCTTCAGAAGGAAAGTTGTAATTTCATTTGCATTTGTAAGAACTGCAATAAGTATCCCAGCAGTGAGCCACACAGCGATGAGAATGAGACCATCACAGGTTCAGACAAGTGCCTGAAAATCTCCAGGTGCTTCAGGCTCTCACTAACCAGCTGCGTGCAGCGGAGAATGGTGCCTGCCTCTGTGAAGTGAGCAGTGAGGGCTGGGATCAAATCACTTGGCAGTATCCTCAAGGCCATGTCCTTGCAAAAGCCTAGAATCTCTCTGACATAGGACAAATGGATGGTGACTGCTATTTTACAAGGGAGATACCATTGACAATTGCACTTTGGGAGTTTCCAGCATTAGGTGGTTGTTAGTAACTGAGCAGTCGCTTCACTGGGGGAAATGGTTACGTGGGTGTGCCAGGGTATTCAATACATGTGTTATGGAAGAAACAGAATTGGAAGCAGTAAGGTTCCAAAGTTGCCATGGGTCATGTATGGGACATACTTCCTAATTACATCTTCCCTTCCTTTTGAGTACCCAAGCAGTAAAGAAGTAAGCTTCACAGGGATGCAAATGCTGGTGGGTTGCGGAGAAGGCGTCACACACATTAATGTTTGTGGGGCAAGTCGGGGACTATATCACTTGCACATTTAAGAAGGTGAAATTTTTACAGTGGTAAGCCAGATCTTTTCACTGGGCCAATTCATTCAAATTGGGGTGTTTTAAATACTGGGAGTAATTCTGGGGACCTGACCCATGCTTTGTTCTTTTTCACTCACCCAACTACGCAAGGGCCACTGGAGAGCAGCAGGGAAGGGCTTTACCACTGGCTGTGTAGACAGTGCAGGACAGCTGTGGGATGTGCATTTGGTGTTTTGAAAGGATATTATGTAGGCTACTTGAATTTCAGTGGTCTCAATACTCTTATTTTTATTTTGAAGTGTCCTGGTTTACTTAATATTCATGAATCAGAGTGGGAAACATCTACCTGAGGAAATCAGAAAAACTTGTGATTTTGAATAGCTTGACACCAGTGTAGACACCATGGTACAGTTGAGGGAGTGATAACAGCTTGCTTCAGTGTGGCTTAGTATTGCTGGATTTTGCTCTTCTGTAGTTAAACTTGGCTTGAATATGAATGTTGAATAATTTATAAATGTCTGTTATAAATTCGATGGAGAGGATGCTGATTTGGGCTGTGGGTTTCATTATGACTGTAAATCATACTTCATGGAGCAAACACTTTAAAAAGAAATAAATAGCAAACACACTTATTGTTAGCAAGAGCAATCTTACCAAAACCTTTGAATGATGTTTGGAGTGCAGAGTGTTGACTGCTTCTACAGAAGCAAAAGGAGGGCGTGTGTGTGCATATGTATCCCCATCACAGTTCTTTAAACACCTTTCTCAAGTGCATGGTGGAGCCTGGAAAATGTTTTTCCTTTGTTTGTCTGTTACTTCTAGTATTGTAAGCTGAAGCTTAACAGAGATGCTGTTAGACTTGCGATCTCAGTGGAAGAGAGAAATCTTGAACATGTAAATATTTTTGCACAGAGGTCTTGCTAAAAGTATACAGACTTGTTCAGAGCTAGACCCATTTAGGGCAGTGTGTTTCCAGACTGTTCTGCAGTTCTATGAGTATTGTGGAGATTCTATCTGTGCAGGTCATGGTGTTAAAAACATGAAGCCACAATCAGGGAGGGGGGGGAGGACAATGTTGATTATTCCATGTTTAAGTGTAGGGACAGTGCAGTTAATGTTGCTGAACTTGTTACAGGCAGTGGTGATTATGGCAGATAGATCACTTCTGCGGGTGACAAAGTCCAAAGAAGGCAAATTTGCAAGACCACCATGGTTCACACTCTGCCATGCTGTCCACTGCTGGGATGACCACAGAGCTTGTCAGAGATGGGCACTGGAAAGTCTCCGGTCAGAGTGGGAACGGTACGGCCACCCTTTGAAATGCCTGGGAAAGGACCAGAGATGTCTTCTGGAGACTTTATGAGGATGGTCCATGAGGGCAGAAGGAACGTTAATTCCCAGATGATCAGAAGAAAACCCTGAGAGAGAAGAAGGGTTGCTGCCACAGCTTGCTCATGAGTCAAAGCAAATTGAGCCCTTCTGCTGCTCCGAGCGCTGCCTGTGTGGTAAACCTACCTCTCCCTCTGTGGAAACGCAGTTCAAGCGTGGTGTGTTCTGGACTTGGGCGGTTGGATCTGGGAACTCACAGCGTCGATTTTTGCTAGGTTTGCGTTACACGTTAACATCAGAAATACTCTCCCCACGATCATGCAGCCTGACCAGACATTTACTAGATTGCTTACAAGGAGTATTAGAAATTTCCTGTGTACTTTATTTTTTTTTAATAAGGTATTGATTTCAATATATTTCTGTTCGTACTTGCAATGAATTGATTTATGTTCATATAAATTCTGTTTTGCTGCCAAAACTTAATAAGTACTAACTAGTTCAATTTTATCTATATTTTTCTTTTTTTTATTTTTTTAACCACTAGTTCTTTCTCAAAAATAAACTGGCTACTCCAGTATTTCATTCCTTTGCTTTACCTGACATTTTGAATGGGTCAAGGAAGGACAGGAGACAGAAGCAAACATGGGCATCCCAGAGATGCTGTGCTGCAGTACCACATATGCTGTGTGTCTCCTCTCAGCTCTGCATGTTCTGTCAGTCAGACCCCTGCCACCCCTGGCACTCTCTGTGTATCAGGGTAAAATAGCTCAGTTCCACTGTTTGTCTGCCAAAACTCCTCTCTTGGCTAGAGGATTTAGGGCTATTTTAAATTAACTGTTCTCTTTTTGTCTGGTGTATAACATCCAGAACTTGATTTGAATCTCGTGTCGTATATGTAAATGTTTTGTATAATGGTTTGGACTACTCTCTAATAAATAGGTGGATGTTTTAGAAGATACATGCTGATGTTTCTAGTCACTGACTTTATCTCCTATTTTGTGTTTCTTAACCCTATCACGTCCTCTGCCTTTCCCTTTTCAGATGATTATTAATGAACAGTTTTAGTTTTCAGATGCCTGAATTACTTTGGAAGTGAGCAATCTGGGAACTGTGGAGAACAGCCATGCACTTTAAACTTTGTGTGCATGCTCCAATGCTGTAATTTTGTGTTGTGTTTTTAAACAACTGCCCTAAGAGCCATAAACATGGTTATGCAATGTAGTAATATCTCTTGACTGAGTGGCCAGAAATTAATCATTCTGCAGGGTCTCTGTGTGGTACATCTTCAGCCCACACAATGGCTTTGTACTAGAATCAACAGGAACAAAAGAGGAAATATTATAAATGCCTCATGGACTCTAAATATTTTAAGCAGTTTACATTCATGGGTCAGAAGAAAGTTTTAAGAACTCTGCGTTTTATTTCACTGTTTGCAAGCATTTGGGGTGTCCTGTCTGCACCATTGCTGGACTGCACATTTCAGTGCTTTCATTTCACTTTTGATATGAACCTGAGTGTGAAGTGCCACAAGTGTCAGTCTGCTCTTATCTGAGCATTTGATTTAAAAAAAATTAAAATTCTTTCTGCTTTTGGTATGACACATGTATCCCACGTTTAATAGGTATGTATTATGATAAGATACTGTTTAACTGGTATGTGTTATCCCTTCTGCCTTAGATATAAATTTGTAGATGTATTAGATGTATTTAAGGGCTATATTTAAGTGTTTGTTTAGTTTGCTGTATATGAAAGTCATTCCTTTCAGAGTAGGTCTGAAATATCTAAGAAATGCATACAATTTTGTCCTTAAAATACCTACCTCAAATGCCAAACTGTGCTCTCCCAGAAAGTTTAAAAGAAAACAGTGGAATGTGCAAATATGGAAGAAACATAAAATACTTGAAACGTAGCCGGTAGAGGAGAAGACATGACATGAAGAGAGCAAACATTGGGTTGGCAGTATCCCGCTCTGTCTGGAGCAGCCCAGCCTGTTCCATTCCTCCACTCACCCTCCTTGCACTGGAACACCCTTGGGGGAGAAGTCATGAGTAATATCGTTTAAAAAATCCTTGGTGCTGGAAAAAGAATAGTTTTTTGGATGACGTCCACTGTGAAACTCCTTTTGTGGGCAGGTTGCAGAGGATGATACTGCACTCCGGGCAGTTGTCAGACACACAGCGGTGGGTCTCCTGTTTGTACTTGTTTGTCACTTAACGTAAGCTTGAGTTGCATTCTTTGGCAGTGATAGTTTGGCTGTGTATTTAAGAACAGTGACCCAAAAATCCTGGCAGAAAAAAGAAATGTGATCTTATTCTTTTTTTAATTCTGTTCATTAGTGAGGAATTCCATAAACTTTTAAGAGGAGTGAAATAAAAATAAAGTTAAAAAAAACTGTGCAAAAAAAAAATGGAAAGCAGCCTGAAAATATTAAAAATTGAGATTCTGAGGTCTTTGCGCTTTCCCTTCTTGGTTTCCAAGCAGCCCTTCTTGGAGGAGTCTTTTTGTCATAGGAAAAGGAAAATACAGTTTTGTTCATTTCACAAGTTAGATTCTTTTTTTGTGTGTTATTAACAGGTTTGGCAAACATCGCAAAGATGACAAGAGTGAGAAAACTGGTAAAATAAAAGTGCAGGAAGCTCTTACTTCAGAAGAGGAGAGAATACGAATGAAGCAAGAACAGGAGAGGTAGACTTCAGTATTTGCTTAAACCTTGATAGAGAGAGTTTGTTTTTTAAATTAAATAACTGAAGTTCAATTTTCATTGATGGAATTTCCCCAATGTTGATATGTTTATATACTTTAAATAACAAGACAAAGATGAATTTATTTTGGACATTAGTATCAATAGCATCTTTGGCTGCATTAAGCATCTTTTATAGACCCAAAGCTCCTTTCCTTATTGAGGAGGCTGAAGTAATAAAATGAAATTTATTCTCTATATATTCTATAACTGATTTTATTGACATTTTCAGAAAAGAAATATTTATATAGAATGAAGTATGTTTTGTATTTTTCTTCAAAGTCTTGCATATCTAGTTTTTTTCACTGATATATTTAGAAAAAAACCCTAAAAATTATAATTACCAGTATATTTGTCACTGGAGTTCAATCTATTTATGTGTCATGCAGTCTGTTTATGGAATGATATGTATATTAAACTGCTAATTGTAAAAATGAGTGGTGAGTACCTCTCTTTTTCCTTGTGAGCTTCCCTTAACATTATATACCTATGTAATATATATGTCGTACGCTCCTCTGAATATTTCCAATCTACTTTTCGTCCTGTCTCTTGTAGCCTTAGATATTTGGGGCCTAGACTCTGGTATCTCTTATATCAATTTAGTCAAAATCTTGGAAAACTTAGGTGATAAATTAACTAGTAGTTGGCGGTGCACGTGGAGAGAAGACCCCTTTGAGAAGGCATCTCCAGTAAGGAGACAAACTTTGAAGGGTTACAAATGCTGAATGGTAAATAGATTCAGATGCACTTAGCAGTGAAAGTGAACTATGAATGGGAATGATTTATTTAAAAATTATGCTATAGCTCAGCCATAAGTTGACAATTAATGCAGGAACTATAGAGGGCTATTTTGTTGTCCTTGTACAGGAGGTATGACTAGTTAATCCTTATGATCCCTTTAACCATATTCTCTATACACCTTGGTCTTCTGTGGGTAAGAACAGAAATTTATAAAATGATGACTTCACTCTAACAGCTCGCTGGAATAGCAGAGCCACAGTAACTCTTGTGTAGTCTCCTCAGTTAAACCTAAAATGGTTGAGTGATTTGCATTACAGTTAAGACAGGCTTGGAGTATACATTTATTAGATAATGAAGATCAGCAGTAACTTGTTAAACTGCAGAAACTTCATCATTTATGACCATCTGTTTGGATTACATTATGGGAAATTTTTTACTCTTTAACAGATATACTAGCATAAATTGATGTAAAAATTTATTCATGTCTTTCTCAATCCATTCTGACAGTAGCGGGTGGCTGGATCACAGTGCTGGGTTGTTTTTTACTTGTCCGATTGGCCTTTATTTTCTCTTTTAACAAAAGTGAAGCAGGATCATTAAATTTGTTCCTGTTTTTAAGAGTAATGTGCTTTCAGATTAAATGGTAAAGGGGAATAATGGAACTGAAGGAAATAAGTGACTTTTGATATGAGGGTGTTTGTGTAGTCAACTTCCCTCCACACATGGGCAGAGCAGCCGCTTTGTGGATAAGTTCATGCCAGGGGTGCAGAGCCACTGAAAACTGCGACCATTGCTCCAGCCAGCTCAGACCAGGAGGAAGGTTAGCCACACGTGCACAGCACTGATCCGTGGCTTCATGTGCTCTGCTGATCCCAAGCTTGCCCAGCATAGAGATTTTCTTAGTAGTCTTAGGTCCCTGGAAAATCAGCCATATACATCTATTCAAAGAAGAAAGACTTGAGGTTTGAGTTAGTAATGTTTTCTCTCTCTTCATTCTCTCTTTTTGTCTCTCTGTGTCTCTCTGTCTCTCTCTCAGTAAGAATGGTGAAAGTATAGACTGTCCATGTGGTGATGTAAGAGAGGTTGCAATAGTCACGCTGGGTACCAAGGTAGAATTATGAAATTATTTGTATAGCCCCCAACGCATGGAGCAAATTCCTAATCCCTGTCCATCAAGTTATGCTAACCAATTTGAATCTTTCCTGGAATCTCACTCCTCGTGTGTCGTAAAAACATTTTTATGTGTTCACTGAAAGTGCAGAAAATGCATGTGCCACAACTTCATAATAGCTTGATAAGGTTACCGTAACACGGATCCTCTTCCTCCTGTTACTCTCCTTCCCTAACTGTGTATTTACTTTCCTTTGTGTTATGTCTATAAGAGAATGCAAGTTCTTTGGGGTAGTGGCATGTACAACTAATAAAAGACAATAAAATAGCAACCAAATGTGTGAGGTGCTTCCTTATGTTTCTGAAAAATTCAGATGTTGATTTGGTCTGTAGAGACTAAATATTTTTGCAGTTAGATTGCAGAGAGTTTCCTTTTGATCATGTAAAATAATGATGCTAGATACATGCTATTAATGAAGAGTACTCCTGCTAATTAACTGAACAATCCCTCAGAATGCTTACTAGGAGACAAAGTAAAATATTACTTTCAGTGTTGGTTCATAATGGCTGCTATTTTAACTTTGTTTTCTGTGGGTTTTTTCCCTTCTCAATATTTTTGGCAGTGCAATTCACTTGCTCGCTTTTACTTGGTATTTGATACTATATACCTCTATAATGATGCAATACTTTGGGGAAATAGGTTGGATTTAATGAATTTACTATGTATGAGAGGCTAGGAGCAAAAGTCCTTAGAGGGTCAGAGAACAAGTGAACGGTCCATTAAAAAATCAATCATGCCCACAATTTTATGGAATTACTATGCCTTGACTTGATAATTTTAATAGTATTGTGCTTACGATACTATTTTCTTTAAAATCTTAAAAGTAGTGTTCGTATTGATGATGAGACAAATAAGCAAATTAATGTTCCTCTATTTACTATGATTAAAATGAATAAAATTGCCTTTTATAAGCATATTATTAATAGTAATTTTTAGTTAAGGAGCGTATCTCTTAACCTGTGTATGGTACCTGGTTACTGACAATCTTAAGGTAATTTTGAACAGAAAATGAAATTATCTAGTTGAAAATGCAGGCAGCTTTCAATGAGATAGAATGCTGGAACAATTAGAAATGTCATCTGGGGAGACCACCCACCAATCTTACCAAAATTGCTGTAAAATGCTTGCTATTTTTAAATTCTCCAGATGTTGGAGTAACAGTTCATCCAAGGCCATAGGACATTGTCCCCATGTCACTATTCTTTAACAGTGGTTTACTCCACAAGAAAGAAGTCTGCTTGCTTTATCCTTGAGTATCTGATCTGAAAATCCTGATGCTGTGCTGTTAGAAAGGGTACTTCTCCCCAGCAATGGCACCAATCGAAACCGTAAGGCAAAACTAAGCAATAGGTTTTCTGAACTTGGCCTTGTCTCCTAAGAAAGAGACTATACTGCAGAGTCTTGAGGAAGTTGAATAAGACCTGAATTCAATTAGCTCTATTCCTGTTCCACATCACAGATATTTTATATATGTATATGCTAACATGGAGCCCCTCTGTGCCATGCTGTCATCTCATCCATCACTGGACTACTAGAACTGGGTACTGCTGAGATGCTACATTCACTCGGATAGACTGAGAAAACAGCCCTGGGCCCTTCTTTGTTTTTGTTATAGAAAGCCTTTTATCAATTCCAGAGTGTCCTGATTCACCTGTGGCTGGCCCATCTTCCTAAGAGCAATGTCTTGGATTTCACAGGTTGGAGATGCATGGAGTATCATGAGCTTTCAGAAATGCTTCAAACTACTTACAGTAGGCATTGTTTAAGTCTATATAGGATATAGACTATGTAGGATAGACTTAAAACCAGATTTTGAAACTTTTGTCAATGACCAAGAGGAATTAGGGTTACAACCCAGTTTTCATATGGATGGCCACCTTCTGCTGTGCTACCAGATCTAAGCCTTTGGAAGCACACAGACCTTTCTACTTTAGAAACTCTCAGCATCTGGTCTTTGAGGGCCTCCGAGGATAGGGTTTTCTCAATGTGTAGGCAATGTGTGCATCGATATCCTCCAACCCGATTGCTCTGAAATGTTTTCTGGCTTCCTCAAGACCCTGTAGTATAGTCTTTTTCTTAGGAAATGTGAAGACAGAACTGTATAGAAAACCTACTGCTTTTGTCTTCTGGTGTTTATTGGTGGCCCTTGCTGGAGGGAGATGTCTCTCTAACAGCAGGTTCTGATACCTTAATCTCTCCCTCTTTCGCCTTTGGATTTTTCCTTGGATTTCTTTTTTGTTGGCTTCCCCCTCCACCCCCTGCAGCTCAGTGTTCATTACAAAATAAATCTTCAGCAAATCAAAAACCTTTGCCTGTGTTCTGCCCTTATTCAGCTTGGGCACGCGCAGTTCTTGACGCCCGCCTGGGAAGGCCATGTGTGCCGGCCCTGTCTTCTGCCTTGGGCTGACTTCGTCTAGGAAACCAAGTGCTTCCCAGCCCAAACAACTTTACTCTTTGTACCTGGTTAGTAGATAACAGAGGAATGAAATAAACATACTTCTTTGTGAAGTTTTCAAGAAATTCAGCTGTATCCAGCACGGTTCATTGCTAGATAATGCTTAAAAGATGAAAGTTGCAATTCTAATGTAATCTCATGATTCAGAGTATGAGATCCCAGCTGTGGATTAAAGCTGTATGCTTTAATCTGCCTCTAGAGGCACTTCCTCCTCTTGAGAAGAGTTTACAGGATATTTTCTCTGTTTGGTTGATACGCTGACTTAAGAGCTTTACTAATGTTCTATAAATCTCTGGGTTACCATAAAAGTGTTTTAATCTTAGTATTGTATTCTTCCTCAACTTCCACTGAAACGGATGCAAAATCGGGTACTTAAACACCTGTGTTGTGAGGATCAGTCTTGAGGAGATAAGGAGAAACCTTGTGGAAGAGGATTAAAGAGCTGTTCTGGTGGAAGTGCTATGACAGAGGCTCCAGAAGCGCTGAGAGGATGACGGAGCAGTCAGATGGGGGCTTTTGGAGCCAGGGGCTTCCTCGGCTCTGAAAAAGCAGCCATACAATTCCAGTCTTTGCTATAC